AAAGCAAATAAACAACTCAAAATAAAAAGCATCAAATACTGTGATAGTTCATAGTGTATTCAGCCCATAACTGCAATGCATTGTTACTTTTAATCTCTGTGTTAGTTGCATTACAAAATGACAATTCTATACTTAATAATAATGTTTTCTAAGTTCTTAACTGTGTGGATCGAGCTGGTACAGTCACTTGGAAACCACCAAAAAGTCTTTAAACAATGATAGAACGACCAACAATGCATTTCTGTCTGGGAATACACTATCCCATAATAGTATAATTTAATTCAGTTTAACAGTTTAACTATTCTGTACAAATATGATATAAGTTATTATGTTTGTAAGCTTCAAACCAATGATAACATGATAATGTTGATGTCTTTCAGTATGCCATACTATTGACAATAGTAGCGACAATATTGATGAAGTACACTCTACATGTCATTGATTTACAAAGTGAAAATCCTTGGGATAACAAAGCTGTTTATTTACTCTATACAGAACTGATTATGGGTAAGCAGTTTTACCATTTCTTAAATTAATATTAAATTATTTATAAAACGTATTATAAATGATATTGTTATATTTTGCTCATTGATTTTTGTCATTTTTTGTATACATTATCTTAGTTCATCATATAGATTTTATTGTTTTACCATCTGTTAATATATGATGTATTTTAGGTTTTATCAAAGCCATACTGTACGTATGTTTTGTGGTTATCATGGTAAAAGTACACACTTTCCCATTATTTGCTATAAGACCTATGTATCTTACTYTAAGGTAAGGAAAAGATAATAACATTACTGATTTATTAATAATCTCCTTGAAAGTTTTGCATAGYATATTGAAAAGTACAAGACAACCAGTGAGCTTTGAATGATAGATACCTGCRATTAATTATTATCCTATGCGAAAACATTTGATGCAACCGCCAAGAGTTGTCATTATTCTATAAACAATTGACAGTACATTGTATAATAATAATAATAATAAATTTGTATTTTTTGGTTTGGTTTTCAGAGGATTCAAAAAGTCACTCAGTGATGTTATTATGTCCAGAAGAGCAATTGCTAACATGAATACATTGTAAGGAGATGTGATTGTATATACACTACTAATGTTTGAATGATTGATGCACGAGGTTGTTATAGTGTTATTGTCTGGATGGATATGTTGTTTGAAAGACTTTAACTGATTGCTTGATTGCTTGATTGATTGATTGATTGATTGATTGATTCACTGATTGATTGATTGATTGATTCACTGATTGATTGATTGATTCACTGATTGATTGATTGATTGATTGATTGATTGATTGACCCACTGATTGATTGATTGATCAATTTTTTTAATTGATTGACTAATGCTGTATTGATTGTATAATGATACATGATGGTTAATGTTTGTAGATATCCTGATGCAACACCAGAAGAACTATCCCAAGGAGACAATGTGTGTATAATATGCAGAGAGGAGATGACAACAGGTTGCAAGAAGATTCCTTGTAATCACATTTTCCATGCAAGCTGCCTTAGATCATGGTTCCAAAGACAGCAAACATGTCCAACRTGTCGTATGGATGTGCTTCGTCCAATGCCGAGACCATCACCTCCACCCACACAGCAACCTGCACAGCCGCAACAACCCAATGGTATGACTTGTTAACTTTTTCTCTTTTTTACTTTAATAAAATTAAGCATTGATATAATAGCCTAAGATAAAAGATACTAGTATTAAAATTAATATTCAATAATATATGACAATATAAAGTTTGCAAATCTCCAAATGACCTTTTAATTGTCTCTTTACATATAAACCCCATCCAAATTCTATATATGAAAACCTGTCCATTTTAAGTAATGAAAAGCTTTCTATAGCCCCTCAAATGATGCCACCATTTGGCATGTTTCCTGGCTGGCCACCAGTACCACCTCCACCATTCCAACAACCAGGAACAGAAACAACACCAACAACTACTGCATCAACTGGTGCTACTGCTGGGGAAGCTGGGTTAATGAACCAGGTAAGCCTTAACTTCTTATGTCTATATTATGAAATAKTTGGCATAAAATGATCAATGTATTTTGACCTGTCGATGAAAGGATAGAGAACATAATGGCATTTCAAACATCGGAAAATAACTGATTTGCGTGTGAAATATTGACCCWMCTCTATTTTGAATAGGCTCCACCATTTAGTATGCCACCACCATTTATGATGCCACCACCACCACCTTTCATGATGCCTCCTCCAATGTTAGGTAAGTTGAATACAAAATCTAGTGGTCCTACTTAATAATAACACTTGTAATAATTATTATACAGGTATGCCATTTTTACCATCAAATCCAACCAACACAACTGACCTGTCTGGTTTAAGCGTTGAAGAACTCAAGAATATGGARACACAAGAAAGAAAAAATCTTGAAAGTAGAATAGCAATGCTTAGGAATATCCATGCGCTTCTTGACAC